TGTTGGGAGCTTTCTTAGCTGAAAGGCACTGAATGCAATTCCAGCTACTCCTGTATTGGGAGTATTCCTGAGCACAGATCATTATTGTTATTATTTTCTTGTTTCTTTAGTGATATTGAACATGCTCTAAGACCCTTAATCACAGAGGAAAGGACCAGCAGCAGAGCCCACTCCCTCCCCAGCCTGGCCCTTCTGCATGGGGAACCCAGGACTCACTCTTCATTCTTCCCTTGATATCAATCTCATGTTTTATCCTATGATTTTCTAAAATAAAATGTGAAAATATTAAATGAAACATATTCCTCTCTTTGACACCAGGAACTATGAATTGATAAAGATTTCCTATTACCTTACAAAATCCACCAGACCAATCCTTCAGCAAGGCCATGCCCGTAATTGCAAGCAGATGTTTTTCTCTGCTGACACATTAAATGGAAGCAGAAAGAACCCGCTGCTATCTCCCATCAACAATTTGCACTTAAGCAGAGAACAGATTTTCACAGAGCAGGGCTGGAGGAGGAGGAGGAGCAGGAGGAGGAGGAGGAGGAGGATTAGGTTCCTGCAGCCCGGGCGTCTCAGCATTACAGCAAAACAAGGCAGCTCAGGAAAACAATGAACTCCAAACAGCCCCTAATTCCAAAGTAACCAAAAGCTTTTGTGCAGGAAAATGAATTTGTGAAACTAATACTGCCAGGAGCCCATGGAGAGCACAGGGGCTGAGTAATGCAGGGGGGAGATGATGCAGCTGACAAACACCCACTGTGGTGGGGTCCAGAGGGGTCCCAGGATGAGGGAAGAGAGGAGAATCTTGACTCCATGATTGAGAAGGCTGATTTATTATTTTATGATATATTAAAAGAAAATTATATATTAAAACTATGCTAAAAGAATAGAAGAAAGGATTTCATCAGGGAAAAGGGAAAGGAAAGGAAAGGAAAGGAAAGGAAAGGAAAGGAAAGGAAAGGAAAGGAAAGGAAAGGAAAGGAAAGGAAAGGAAATCTTGTGACTCTCAGAGTCTGACACAGCTAGACTGTGATTGGCCATTAATTAAAAACAACCACATAAGACCAATCAAAGATGCACCTGTTACATTCCACAGCAGCAGATAATTATTGTTTTTCTTTTTCTCTGAGGCTTCTCAGGAGAAAAATCCTGGCAAAGGGAATTTTCAGAAAATATCATAGCAACATACTCAGCTCAGCTCCCACAGACCCTGCTGGCTCTGGAGCTCTGTGTTAGCACAGAGCTGTCCTGTCCTGCAGAGCACAGGGGCTGGAATTATCAATACAAGTGGAAGTGACAGGCTGTTTAGCAAACATTAAACCCAGGAAGCTTAAAAGGTCTTCCAGGATTATTAAATAAACATTTAGGATGAATGAAAGACTGTGAAATGGTGAAGAAATTGCAAACACTCTGCAGCAGGCAGTGGGGCTGCAGAGATTCAGCTGTGCAGGACGGTGTTTAATCATTTATGAAGTGTCACACACAGCTCTTGGCAAGTGTTAATCCAGGAGTGATTTTGATAAAACTTTAGCTTGATACTGACATTTTATTATTTAACATCCAAATCTGAACATGGTGCCGGCACCATCAGTTTGGCCAGGCCAATGCCACCACCTCTGTCCCACAAGCCCTGCAAGGAGACACATGGTTAAATTACCTCGGAGCTTCCACAAACAGCTCAATCTCCTCCAAATCCATATTTCCCCTTGCTGTGCAGTGACTGGGGAGGTTCTCTGGGCTGGGTGTGCTCACCTCCACTTGAGGATGACCAATTTAAGATGTCACATCTGTCTCAAGGGGCTGCGGTTTATTTTCAGGGTTTAATGTGCACCATACATGCTCATGGTAAATGCCATAATCTACTAATTTCTTTCCAAGAAAGAAGATACTCACACTTCCAACAGAGATACTCACACTCCACCACCCTCCTGGGGCTATAATTTATTTGTACACAATACCACACCTCCCTGTAAATTAGCCTGTGTGCCACATCAGTGACTCAAGAGTTTGGAGAAAGTCAGATTTAGGGGGTGAAGTGCCAATAGCACAATGAGCCCCAGCCTGAGCTAAAGGAAAGTTTTGGAGCTGTTCCTGCACCCCAAAACAAGAGCAGAGCTGGATCCCAAAGGATTCTGTGCTGGCTGCATCAGGTGTGGATCCCTCCAGCTTCCTCCTCTCCACGGAGCAGCCTGGCAAACACCTCCAAAGGAAAAACGCTGCAGACAGCAGTGAATTCCCTATCCCAGCACACTTCTGCAGAGAAGAGGGGCTGCTTGCTGGCTGCCCCCGGGATGCTGGCAGGCTGAGAGAGGAGCCTGCTGTGCTGCAGCGTGCCCGTGCCCTCACGCTGGCAGTGCAGACAGACCCGTCGCTCTGGAGGAGACACAGCCAGGGCTCCCCTGGTGCTGCAGCCTCTGTGCCAATGCCTGAGCGCACAAACCCTGCCCCAGCCGTGCAGGCAACGTCCTGCTGCCCCACAGGGGATGCCAGCCTCGGATGGGAGCTCTGGAAACAAAGCCCTCATTATTCAACACCCTGGCAGGTTGACCCGCACTGCCTCCCTCTCTCCAGGCTCTCCAGGATGGGGTTTTGCTTTGGGAATTTGTGCTGCAGAGCTCAACCCTGCACATGGGGCTGGCTGCACTGAGAAGCTCCCAAAAGCAGGGGAGCCCCCAGCTTGCCCCATTCCCCTTCCAAGGAATATATTCAAACATGACTTGGACACCTACAGACTGCCCAAAGGGAAAAGCTTTTCCAACAGACTCTGATGGCATCACTGGGGAAGAAACAGCAATTAAAAAATGTCTGTTCCTTCGGAAAACAGGGATTTTAAACGCACTTGCTCATAGCCATGATATTTTGTGAAAAATCCTCTCCTTAGGATTTTTCCTCCTGAGAAGATGGGAGGCCTCAGGAACAAAATGTAAACAATGGTTATCTGCTGCTGTGGAATGCAACAGGTGCATCTGGGATTGGTCTCATGGGGATGTTTCTAATTAATGGCCAATCACAGTCCAGCTGTCCAGACTGTCTTGGTCAGTCACAAACCTTTGTTATCATTCTTTGCTATTCTATTCTTAGCCAGCCTTCTGATGAAATCCTTTCTTCTATTCTTTTAGTATAGATTTAATATAATATATATCATAAAATAATAAATCAAGCCTTCTGGAACATGGAGTCAGATCCTCGTCTCCTCCCTCATCCTCAGACCCCTGTGAACACTCTGGAAGATTCTTTTCCTTATGTCTGGGAGCTCTTTCTCCTTGGTGCTGCCACTGCTTTTTGGGGCACTCAGAACCACACCTTCAGCTCACCATGTCCTGCCTCCATTCCCCACTCCTCTCCATCATTTCACCTCATCAATCTGTGATGTTAAAGGCCATGGTTTATTTATTTCTTTACTTCACTAATAAAGCACATTATCTACAATGATTAATTTTGCAATAAAGAAACAACACTACTACAAATGGTGGTGTAAGACAACCTAAGGGGACTCTACAAAGTTCACATCCTAAATCCATCTCTCTGTTAGCTGTGAAACATCATTCCTCAGAGTACTTGGCTTGTTAATGGAATTCTTCTACAACCAAGTCCATGGCTCTGTCCCCATGTGGGAAATAAGCACCAATCCCAGGCTAAGGAATGATTAATTTACCAGTTTTGAGGGGGTTTGGTTCAAACCTCAAAAATGAGGATTTGTTATTTCACTTAACTGTGATACAACAGGATTATCTCAGACATCAGATATTCACTTTCCCAGAGTATTGGTGATGGATGAGAATACTAAATGGAAGGAGGAAGGATAATGAATACAGAGTGGTATGGGTCTATGAAAAAGAGAACCAGTCCAATTAACAGAATAATGAATTTCAGCTTGGTCGATAAACGTAATCATTTGGGTAAGATATTCTTTGTCTTTCATAAACTGTTTGAAATCATACAAACATGACATTTCAATTAGGGCACAAAAGACATAATGATAGAGAGCCAAGCTGTCACAGATCAAACAGAAAAAACCCCAGACTGGGGTCCCACAGCAAAGGGGGAAGATGGAGATGATACATCCCCTGTGGGGCTCCACAGGGAAAAGTCCTTGGCCTTGTGCTCTCTGGTACTCTGCCAGCAGCCTAAAGGAGCTATAAAAACATCACTGGTATAAAGTGAGGAGTGTCACAAGCTGGAGGAGCTGGCCATGAGCTCCCCACAGCCAAAGCCTCAGGCAGGGCAGAAACTGAACCTTTGCTTGGGCTTGAAATGGAGTGACAGGTCTGGGCAGCAGCAGCTCAGGGGAACTCAGCTGTGCAGGGGAAATGCCACAGCCAGGAGGGGATCCCAGCCCAGGAAGGAGAGCTCAGCCCAGGAAAGGGATCTCAGCCCAGGTAGATCTCAGCCCAGGAAGGAGATCCCAGCCCAGGATGGGGGATCTCTCTCTCAGCCCAGGAAGGGGATCCCAGCCCAGGTAGGAAAGTTCAGCCTAGGTGGGGAATCAGCCCAGGAAGGAGATCTGAGCCCAGGAAGGGAGATAGCCCAGGAAGGGGAATCTCAGCCCAGGATGGGGGATCTCTCTCAGCCCAGGAAGGGGAATCTCAGCCCAAGAAGGGGAGCTCAGTCCAGGATGGGGATCCCAGCCCAGGAAGGGGATTTCTCTCAGCCCAGGAAGGGATCTCAGCCCAGCTAAGGGATCTCAGCCCAGCTAGGGGATCTCAGCCCACGTAGGGGATCTCTCTCAGCCCAGGAAGGGATCTCAGCCAAGCTAAGGGATCCCAGCCCAGGAAGGGAATCTCTCTCAGCCCAGGAAGGGATCTCAGCCCAGGTAGGAGAGCTCAGCCCAGGAAGGAGATCTCTCTCAGCCCAGGATGGGGATTTCTCTCAGCCCAGCTAGGGGATCCCAGCCCAGGAAGGGATCTCAGCCCAGCTAGGGGGATCCCAGCCCAGGAAGGAAATCTCTCTCAGCCCAGGAAGAGGAGCTCAGCCCAGCTAGGGGAGCTCAGCTGGACACTGCTGAGACAGGGGCCTGCTCAAGGCCAAAGGCACAGGTGGAGGCACAGAGCCCCCTCTGCCCCTGCTCCCCATGCCAGTGCACCAACACACTGCACAGTGAGGAGGCTCAAAGGCTGCCAGGGGCTCAGCTGGCACAGCAGATGCCAAGGCAGGCACCCAGGGGGACATCACAAGAGATGCTGGTGAGGGAGGGCTCCAGCCCAACAAGGCACCACAAGGAACCAGGGGTAAGGCTTAAACTAAACAGGTTAAGACTATAATGGGGATGTTTTTACAGTGAGGGCAATTAGCTACTAGGAATTCTTATCAGAGGTTGTAATGGGTTCTCCACTACTCATTTATTAACTTTGATCATGAAGATAGGATCTCTGTCTAATCAGCCAGCTCTGGTTCCTACAGGAATTCAGGGCAATCCTGCAGCCATGAAGATGGGAGTGATGTGCTCCACGAGGGTCCTTTCTGCAAGCATGCAAGCTCTTAACATCACCTCCCAGCCCTCTGCTCGCCCTCTTCACCTGACAGCTGCTATTTCAACGTCTGTACAATAACAGGTCTTTACCAATGCAGTCAGAAATGGTGTGTGAGCTCAGCCACTGCTTGCAGCACGTGCCCAGGCCATCGGGCCAAGCTTTGGGAGGGCTGAGGGAGCTGTGAGGAGCAGGATGGAGCAGCAGGAGGGCTGGGCTCCAGCATCCCTGCAGCGGAGCAGCGAGATGGAGCCGCTGTGCCCACCTGGGCAGGTCCAGGGAGGGGCTCTCCCTCCCTCCTGCAGCCAGGGCATCACTTGAACACGGACGGGAACGTGGGGCAGTCGGGCGACTTCATCTTCTTCATGAACTTCTTGAACTCTTTGTTCTTCTTGTCCCACTTGTAGATGGCTGTCAGCAGGTACTGGGTCTTCACCTGGCGGCCCATGATGAGGAAGTGGTGGCTGAGGTTGTCCAGCTGGTGGCAGGGACAGTCTGCCCCGTTCTTCAGGAACAGCACCAGCTTCTTCAGGTTCTTCTTGCGGATGGGCCCCAGCTTCAGCGCCTTCCTCTTGCGTGGAATGATCATCTTGTCCCCGTTCTCCTTCTTCACTTCCTTTATGGTCATCTTCAGAGCTGCAAAACAAGATGGGAGAGGGGAAAACAAAACTCCTAAGCAGCTTTCAGGGGCACAAAGCCTCTGCTTTGTGAGGCTGAGGGGCAGCAGTGACAGCAGCAATGTCCCTGTCCCCCTGCACACACACAGTGTCCTGCTCCCCTCCTGCATCCCCTTCTCCCCGTCCCTCTGCACACACACAGTGTCCTGCTCCCCTCCTGCATCCCCTTCTCCCTGTCCCCCTGCACACACACAGTGCCCTGCTCCCCTCCTGCATCCCCTGTCCCCCTGCACACACACAGTGCCCTGCTCCCCTCCTGCATCCCCTGTCCCCCTGCACACACAGAGTGCCCTGCTCCCCTCCTGCATCCCCTTCTCCCTGTCCCCCTGCACACACAGAGTGCCCTGCTCCCCTCCTGCATCCCCTGTCCCCCTGCACACACACAGTGCCCTGCTCCCCTCCTGCATCCCCTGTCCCCCTGCACACACACAGTGCCCTGCTCCCCTCCTGCATCCCCTGTCCCCCTGCACACACACAGTGCCCTGCTCCCCTCCTGCATCCCCTTCTCCCTGTCCCTCTGTCACCCTGGTTTTTTAAGATTTTCTAAGCCTTCTGATGTTGACATTCTTGTAGTGAACTTTCTCACACACTTTCTGTAAATAACTCATTGTTTTTCATTCCTTTATGGAGGAGGAGAGAGTTGATGGACTGTTGGTTTGACCTGTGTCATTGCAGAGGTGTCACTGTCACCTTCCAATCCGCTGTCACTTTTGTAAAACTATAAATATTGGAGTCAGAGAATAAAACTTCCCTTTTTTCCCTTCACCTTGAGAGCGGTGGTGTGCTTGTGTTCTTTCGTGTCGTTCAGCGACATCCCTCTGCACACACACAGTGCCCTGCTCCCCTCCTGCATCCCCTTCTCCCTTCTCTGCTCCTGAATCCTCCTGCTCCTCCATGGCATCACCCTGGCCATGACTTGGGCATGACACCCATACCCTTGCACCTGAGGGGGAATGTCACAGACATATTTTACAAAAAATCCTTTCGTTAGGATCTTTTCTCCTGAGAACCTTCAGCTTCTCCATGTTTTGCTGCTTTGAAATGTGATTTATGCTTACCCAGCATGTGAATTGTTTTTACTTGATGAGCAATGACAGCCACCTGTGTCGAGCTGTGAGCAGCCACAAGATTTCATTATCATTTCATTCTTTCCCTTCCTTGCTACCCTTCTGATGAAATCCTTTCTTCTATTCTTTAGTGATATTCTTTTATTTTATTCTTTAGTGATATTCTTCTATTCTTTAGTGATATAGTTTTAATATATCATTTTCTTTTCGTACAATATATATCATAAAATAATAAATCAGCCTTCTGAAACATGGAGTCAAGATTCTCATCTCTTCCCATGTCAGGATTGCCTGAAAATTCCACACAGGAGCTGCCCCATGCCCAGGAGAGCACCAAGGTAAAACACTGAAATCTTTGTTCCCCTTCCTGCACAAAGCACCCAGCACTTCCCATTTGAGAGTGGAACTTGTTCAGCTGCCAAGCACAAATGTTAACTGAGTAAATGAGGTGATTTCCCTGCTCTAGAGGCATGGAGAGACTCTTGAAAGGATCATTTAAAAGGTCAATTTGGCTTCTCAAGCATTTGTTTGCAGTCACACCGGCCCTCAGGTGCCTGTGAAACAAGTTTGCAAGCACTGGATGTCACAGCATCAGAGCTGTGGAGATCCCAGCATGTGCCTGGGAGAAGGAAAGTTGGTCTGATACAATTTCCATGGAAAATATCCTCCCCTCTTTGGGTTCAGCATTTTCCTGAGTTAATCACAACACCCCCCACCCCAAAAAAAGAAAAAAAAAAGGTTTTTTGCCATGACCATGAAGAGGAATTTTGCCTACATGGGAAAAACGACGAAAATGTGTTGTACATTAAAACATCATTTCAGCGCCATTTGGCTCTGCCTCGTTTTTTGGGGAAAAGCACATATGGAGCAAAATTGCTAACATATTTTCATCATTTGGGAGTTTACTCCAGAGCTGCAGATAACCAGTGCTCAGAGAGGTGATTGCTTGGCTGCTGTCCCTCCCCATTGGAGTCTCAGGGCAGCTGCAGGCAGTCCCCAAGAAGCTCTGGCTCTGGCAGGGAGATGGATCCTCACAGCATCACTCCTTGAAGTCCTGCTCTGCTGGAACACACAGCAGTGAACCCGTGCTGCTTCCTGGGCAGGAGCACTGCTCACACTGCTCCAGACACACATGGCAGCAGGACAGCACAGTGACAACGCTGAGCAGGCAGCAGGGACTCAGTGTCACCACCCTGACAACAGCAGCACGGGTGTTTGCCTGCCCCTGTGCCAAAAACATCCCTTAGGTTTGCCAAGATCCTTGTCAAGTTCACTGCTATTGCATCAGAAAGTATACAACAGCAATCCAATCCAATCTAGGTTTCCAATCTAGGACTGGAAACCTAAGTGAAATTTTCATTCCATCTGTTTTCCAAATTCAGGAGCTAAAGAAACTCCTGAATTTAAGGAGCTAAAGATGCTGAACCAGATCAGTTTGCAACAGAGCTGGAAAATGAAGGAAGGGGTTTTCAAGCAGCTCCAAGCTCCATGACACCGACTGGGCAGCAGCAACCCCTCAATATCAGCCTCAATTCCTTTATTCAAGCTGACTGGAGCCCTTGCAGTGAAAAGAGAGGTGGCCAGGGCAGGAGGGATAAAACAGGGAGGGGTGTGAAACACCACTACAACAGCACAATAAGAGATTTCTGCAAAATGGCTTTTTTGCTCTGCTGAAATCACTGAAAATTTGATCCTTTTTGCTGGAGGAAGAAAAGGATCTGCCAGCTAGCTGAGGTGTTGATCTAGTCCAAGCATCACACAGCATGAAGACAAAGAAGGGCTGGTAATCCTGAGCTGTGGGAGCTCACAGCTGCTCCCTTCCCTGCACACTGCACTTTGTGAGCAGTGCAGGTTCATGGGAGCTGCCCAGGGGAACCATAAATCCAGATGTAAACCAAAACCTCATCCAAAGGCTGCTCGTGCAGAGCAGCACACAGAGCCAAGATGGGGATGAAGGAGGAGGCTGACCAGGGGTGCAAATAGTTTGTGTCAGGCTCTGTTTTTTCCACCAGCAATGCCAGCAGTGTTTACCTGCAGTGCTGCCCAGGTAAGCACAGCTCATGGAGCACCAAGCTTACCTGCCTTTGGTGCTGCAGGCTGAGGATGATCTCTGCTCAGCCCTCACTCCTCTGGCTCCCCAAATTCCCCTGAATTGGGCCACATTCCCTAAGTTCCAACCCACATGAGATTCCCAGGAGTGAGAGCTGGGTTCCACAGTGGCAGGACAGACACACAGCTTTGGCCAACACCAGAGAAGAGGTGCCTGAGGGTTTTTGGGAACAGCACCAGCTTCTTCAGGGCTCATCCCACTCATTCCAGGGCTCATCCCACTCCAAGAGCTCACCACCAACTTCTAGAAGGAGGCAGCCTCCAAGTTCTGGCTTTCCTAGAATATTTGTTGGGGGACCCTGGCGCTGCAGCAGCTCTCCTCCTCTTAAGGAGGAAGTATTTTACAGAAAGAGTGGTCAAATACTGGAATCATCTACCCAGGGAAGTGGTAGAGTCACCATCCCTCGAAGAGTTTAAAAAAAGACTGGATGTGGCGCTTGGTGCCATGATCTAGCTGAGGTGTTAGAACATGGGTTGGACTCGATGATCTTAAAGGTCTCTTCCAACCTAGAAATTCTGTGATTCTGTGATTCCTGGCGTCCCCCCAGCCCTTTTTGCCAGGCAAAAGGCTGGAGCAGGATGCTTTGAGTCTTGGCTCCAGCACCCAGCAGAGCTGCCAAAGCAAACAGCTTCCTCCTCACTGGGAGCCTTGGCCTTTCCATCCCCCCCGTGCCACACCAAATCTGTCTCAGCAGCCAGGGAGAAGGGCCAGGATCACTCTGGGATCCCAGGACAGGCTTGCTCAGACAGATTTCACCTTCAGCTGGGGCTGCCAGGCAGGAGCTGACCCATGGGGAGTTCTCCACAGCAGGATAACTGTGGATAACTTTTCAATTATCCACCTTTCCAGTCCAGCAGCTGTGACACTGCTGGCAGCACCAAGAGGGCTGCAGGATCAACATTTCACCCACAAGCCCTTCTTACCATTTATTTTCATGGGACACACACAGTTCCAGCCTTCTCCAAGGACAGCACTGCTCTGGGGGGTCACCAGCTGAGAGCAGAACCCCTGTGCCCTGCTCACAACCCTGCTCTCACCCCTCTTTTTCAGCACAGAACTAGGATGCTGTCTCTGCTGGGGCCCCACTCCAGCACCTCATGTGAGGGAAGGGAAAGCTCCACTGTTCCTTCAGCCTCGTTTTCCTTCCTTTGGAAATCACTGAGAAGGAAGAAACCTGCCAGAAGACACATTAGGGCTGTAACAGGAGAAGGCTGCAGGCAAGGGCCTGTCAGTCACAGAGGAAAAATAAACAGCATGTATTGATTGTTCTGCAGTCCCCAGTGCCACAGAGCCCGTTCAGCAGGATCCCCCCAGACCCCAGAGAAAGGGCAGAAACAATAAATAAAATCACTAAGAGAAACAGAGCGTGGAATGAACTCCTGGAGTAAGAAACCAGCGCTGGCTGCAGCCCAGGGCAGCTGGGGGAGGTGGCTGTGGGGGCTCTGGAGCCCCATCTCTGCTTCCTCTTGCTTCCAGTGCTGCCTCACACTGAAATCCACCCTGCAGTCACCCCCATGTACCTGACCCAGCCCCTGTGCTGCTCTGAGCTCTGGCACCCCTCACTGACACCACCCCAAAGCTGTTTAATCTCAGAGGAACAGCCCAGCTGCCTAAAGCAGCATCCCAGAGTGCTCATTCATCCTTGCTCAAAGGTGAACCCAGAGTTCTGCTGCACCACGAGGTTGGGGCAGTCTCCTGGCACCCCTCTGACCCCCAGCATCTTGTCCAAGATCCTCTCCTGCCTTGTCTTTGCAGTTTGTGCTCACTTCTTACACTGCTGGGAAGAACAGAGCCTAAAACAAACTATTTGCACCCCTGGTCAGCCTCCTCCTTCATCCCCCTTGGTGTTATCCCATCTTGGCTCTGTACTCTGGGCTACACAGCCACTTCCAACTGGCACAGCCACACATCTGCAGCAGAACCCACAGCTGTGCTGCACCACAAGGCTGGCATGCTCCTGGCACCCCTGTGACCCACAGCATCTTGTCCAAAATTCTCTCATGCCCTTGTCTTTGCAGTTTGGGTTCACAGCTCTGTTCCTGCACTGCTGGGAAGAACAGAGGCTGACACAAACTATCTGCACCCCTGGTCAGCCTCCTCCTTCATCCCCCTTGGTGTTATCCCATCTTGGATCTGCACTCTAAGCTACACAGCCACTTCCAACTGGCACAGCCACACATCTGCAGCAGAACCCAGATTTCTGCTGCACCACAAGGCTGGCATGCTCCTGGCATCCCTGAGACTCCCAGCATCTTGTCCAAAATTCTCTCATGCCCTTGTCTTTGCAGTTTGGGTTCACAGCTCACTGCAGCACTGCTGGGAAGAACAGAGCAGAATCTTGTCCAAAATCCTCTCCTGCCTTGTCTTTGCAGTTTGTGCTCACTTCCTGCACTGCTGGGAAGAAGAGAGGCTGACACAAACTATCTGCACCCCTGGTCAGCCTCCTCCTTGGTGTTATCCTATCTTGGCTCTGCGCTCTAAGCTACACAGCCATAGCCACGCATCTGTGCTGGGCAAAGTGGTCCTCACCTCTTTGCTGTACCAAGCTGCTGGGATGTAAGAGAAAATCTGCAGGAACAGCAGGAATCAGTGTAAAACTTACCAACAGCTGCCCCGTGCAGCACATGTTAGTTTAAACATTTATTGTACATGTCTGGCTCTGCTGAGGATCTGTAACCTGTCAGCTGCCAGTGTTTACCTTGGGGGACGTGCATGAGAAAGCTCAGCCTGAAGGTTTGGGAGTTCAGAACAGTGCCAGATAAACAGCTCTCCTTGAGAAATCACCCCAGGACAGCAACCCCCAAGACTAAACAAAGATCCAAGGGCCGTACACTGTGCTTTGGGAAAACTTCCTGAAGCCATTGCCACTCCCTCCTCTGAGACATCCCTCTCACCCCTGCATTGCCTTCCCTTCCCTCACAGGGCACAGGTAGGACCATCCCATCCCTGTTCCTGCTCCCCAGCTGGCCACATCTGCCAGGAAATAATCCATCCTTTGGAGGACACTGTCCCCAGTGTCTTTCCCAGGAACACTGTGGGCAAGTCACTGACCCAAGCTCTGCTGAGGCAGGGAATTCCTCTGCTTTGGCCTCTGCACCCTGCTGGAACTGTCCCAGAGCAGCAGAAACTCACGTCAAGCATGCAGTTAAGTTTGTATTTCCCTTCCCAGTAGGAAGGACACCCCCTTGGCTCACTCCTTGCACACCTCTGCAAGGGACAGGTATTGCAGTGAGCCCTCTCCTTCTCTGGGACAAGGATTCCCCAGCTCAGCAATTCCAAACACAAGTTCCTCTTGTTTGGAATCGTTATTGTTATTTGTCACGTCTACTGCTTTAAAAACTTTTCTACTTGCATGGAAAACTTTTTTACTGTATCTACAATGCTAACGAAACTCCAATCTAAGACTTACATACTTTTTTAACTATTTCCTAAAAACCTTCTAACTTTATAAATTCCAACACTGGACTGGGGCAATGCCTGTGCAGCACTGCAAGGAGGCAGGGAGCTCCTGATCCCAGAGGCTGTTCCTCCCTCCCTGTGTGTGCCCTGAGGCAGGGGCAGCTCTGCTCCAGCTGCCATGGCCTGCCCAGAGCAGAGCTCAGAGCACTCAGCACCTCCCACTCCCCAGGCAGGCCAAGCACTGAGTGTCTGCCTCCATTCCCCAGCCAAGCCAGAAGTATGCACATTCCTGGGAAACCGTGACATGGGTGTTCCTGTTGGTGCTTTTCCCTGTTAGAAAAAGTCTGGGCTGGACTGAAGACTTGTGGCATAGCCAATCTGCAGGACAGTTGAGAATTCATTTCCAGCAGAAAGGGGAGCACACCAGCACGCAGAGCAGGTTTGGGTTTGCATAAGCACGCTCTGGTACAGGGCACATTCAAGTGCTAATCCCCCAGGAATGCACACCTTGCTCAATATGCCTTTAATAATCTTCCTGGAAGGTTACATACACCAGCAAGGATGTCAAAAGCAGTTAATTCTGGGTTTGATCTGAGAAAGCCAATATATTTCCTCGTGATAATCTTTTTTTTTTCTAAATGAAGTAGTTCAGTTTACCACTGATTGTCTCACTCACTCATTTAGGACAAAGCCTTCGAGCAGCTTTGTGTTTTTTAACAAAGTCCACCTCTGCATGCCCACAGTGACATCTAGAGGCACACGGGGCTGGCTTTGGGGACAGACTGCAGGACACACAGCACCACGGTGGGCAGGGCAAGGTGGCAGCTCCAATCCAGCCACACAGGAGTCATGCTGCCTGTGCCCAGAATGGCTGGAGTGCTCCTCCTTACCAAACTCGCTGGCACACAGGTGCTCCACGATGGCCTCTGACTTCATCTCATTGTCACAAGGGGGACACACGGTGGTTCCTGGCGAGAGAAAAAGAAGTGAAGACAATTGAGAGGTGGCAGGCAGCCAGAGGAAGCAGCAGCACAGAGCCAGACTGGCCATGCTGTCAGACTCACCCCTGAAGGGGATCCATGCCCATGCACCCTGGCACGGGTTCCCAGCTCCCAGAGGTGTGGGACAACACCCAGAACCATCCACTGGCTCCCAGGGCAGCCCTGGGCACAGGCAGCCTGCTGCCAGCCCCACACAGTGCTGCCAGTGGCCCCAGGGCAGGCACAGGCAGCTGCTAAAAGGACAGCACTGGCACAGAAAGGAGCTCTCAGCTGAGGGAAGAGCTTGCCAAGGGGCATGGGCCATGGCCTGCTGCATGCCAAGGCAGGCACACGATGCCCCAACCCCAGCACAGCAGGAGGATGCTGCCCAGAGATGGCTCAAGTGTGCCCAGGTGGTGCCAGGCAAGGGGGTCAGGACTGGCACAGCCCAGTTCAGTGCTCCCCTCACTACTGGGGACCACAGACTGCCCAGGAAAACCCCACTACCCTCCCTCCTGCCCTGTGCCAGAGCAGCACAGGCTGGGGATGGAGCAGCACAGCTCTTGTGGGTGCTGCCCCACCAGGAGTGGCCATTCACCACCACGAGTGGCCACCCCACCACAAAGAGTGGCCATCCACCATCTAGAGTGGTCACCCCACCGCCAAGAGTGGCCATCCACCACCAGGAGTGGTCACCCACCGCCAGCAGCGGCCACCCACCGCCAGGAGTGACCAGCCACCGCCAAGAGTGACCAGCCACCGCCAAGAGTGACCACCCTCTCTTTTGCTTCACCCTCATGGCTCCAGCAGAGCAGAGCCACCTCTGCTTGGCAGCTGCTGGCAGAGGTCAACATCTCCCTCTTGGGGAATGCCAGCCCAGGGGATTTCACTGGGATCCGTCCTGGGAGGAAATCTCACTTCACCCAGAGAACAAGACTCTGTTTCCAAGTCCCCATCTGCACTTGGGGCAGACCACCCAGCAGCACAGACGTAGATTGGAGCTACTGGCAGATTAATTTATTGAGCTGGGAGATGCTGCTTGTTCCCGGTCCAGCAAGACTGAGGGCTCTTCCCACACAAGGGAGTTATTCTCAGGGACAACACTGCAGCAAAACATCTGCCAGTAAACAGAGCACTCATGGCCTTCCAGCCCTCAGCCAGGCCAGCAAAGCCACAGCATTGCTGGAGAGAAAAAGCAGAGAGGTGTCTCAGAAAGGAGAGCAGAGCCAGGGAGGCACAGCCATGACCATGCTGTGGTGTCTCCTCAGCCTCAGATGCCCCACGGGGATTCAGGCCAGACTTTTGTTTTCTGTGGCTTTTTCCTTCCCTGTCGCCACCCCCAAACCTCTTCTGTGCCAAACGCTGATTCCTGGGGATGTGCACCATGATTTTATTAACCACACATGCACAGCAACTGGCCTGGTGCTTGCTCCTGTGTGCAAGCCACGAGCCAGCCTTCCCAGCACCAACATCCACACCCTCTGTACCTCTGAGAGCTGCCCATCCCTGGGTAACCCCTCCTGCCAGAACCCTGACATGCAAGTGCCACTGTCACCATCTCAGAGTGACACAGGCAGGAGCCAGCCTTTGGAGATAGGATGACATCCACAGTCAGAATATTTCTTTCCAGCTGTGGAAAGAAATATTTACTGTGCTCGTGACAAGGGAGAGAGGGGGCTCACAGGAAGGTGACACAGGCTCAGCCCTCCATGTGCTGCACAGCCAGGAGTTCATCACTGAGCTGGGGAACAAGCTGGGCTTCCTGCCATGGCAAGCACTTCAATGTCTCAGCAGCCCAAGTGCACATGAGGCTGGCAAAGCCAGACAAACATGAAAGCCACCACTCGATGAGCTTTCCAGGCAACCTATTAAAATAGGGGAAAAAAAGCAAACAAAAATGGAAAATAAGAGTCATTGTTCCATGGTGCAAATACAGGCTTTGTTCTAGCTGTGCTCCAGCAGCCCCTGGACAGGCTGTGACACAGCCAAGGTGGCAGAGACCCCTGCCTTGCTGCACCAGGAGGCAGCAGCATCCTGAGGGCAGGAGCTGAGACCCTCTGGACAGCCCCCTCCAGAGGCAGCAGCTTCATTTATGCACATTCCCCATGCCCTAATCAACAACCTTGATCAGGCTGCTCAGAGTCCTTGACCAGGAATATTTACAAGCATGGGGCATCCACCTTGTTCCTAGATAATCTGTGCCAGCGTTTTACAACCCTCACTGTGAAAAACTTCCTCCTTATATCCAATTTAAATCAACCCATCCTCCAATCCTGCCTCCAGTCCTGCTGGCAATGGGAAGAAAAACTGTGCTGTGCTCTGGATCACCACATCACACTACATCAGGAACATTAATGTTGGGGGCCCAGCTCCTGCACAGCTCTGTGCCCCAAGAAAGCTGTTCTGTGGAGCTGCCCCAAACCTGCAAGCCTGTTTGCATTGCACCCATCCCTCCTGAGGCACTGAGCAGCCATCCCCAGCCCACCCTCAGGCCCCACTGCAGCTTGGCTGGGGCCCATCTGCAAACCCCCAGCACAATCTCAGCTGCCTGCAGCTCCCTTGTTCCCTGCTGACCATTTTTGCAAAGCCTGGCTGCAGAGCCAGCTTACTCCAGGGGCAAGAGAAGGAATGTGTAATGCTGTATTAATCTGCAACTCCCCTGATGCATCCTGTGGGCCTGCAGGCTTTACTGCCTGTGCTTAAGGAGAAAGGAATTCAGCAGGTCAGCTCTTTGAGAGGCAGAAACAAATTCCAATTTCAAGGTGTTAACGGGGGAAAATACTGAAAGGGTTTGTTCTTATTAGTGCCAAGAGAAAAAGGGGGGACACTGCTTGGTTCTGACCCTCTCTGGATCAACAGGAAACACCCCTGTGCCCAAGAGCAAAGGACTTGGTGCTGACAGAAAACACAGACAGGGTGCAGAACTCGGGTAGACAAGTACCCCAAGCAGCACAGGGACAAGAACTGAGCTGCAGGTCACCCAGGATGTCACTTGACATCTGCAGGGGGTGGCAGTTCCAGAGCTGAAGCAGTGGGTGCGTTATAAGAGAGCTTCTGTGGCATTCAGGACATCCAGCAGTGCTGCTTCACATCACACCAGTGGCTGCAATTCACTTGGAGTTTGCTTTTTTCCACTCCAAACTGTTTGAGGCACCACAAGAAAGCAGCAGTGTCCCACCCCAGGTCCAAAAGGTGAAGAGAAATCGTTAAACTACTCAGTGGAAAGGAAAACCTGGCAGATGCTGCTCCTTTAGGAGGCTGTTCCCAGGTCCTGGCTCGTTAATGTCTGTAAAATGAATGACCTGCACACAGCTCAGGCTCTGTTCAGACCCAGGAAGGGGCAGCTCACACCCAGCTGTCCCTGGAGCATGCTTGGCTGCAAGTCCCTGGGGAAATAAAAGCAACCTTTGTACCTGCAACACGGAACACGGCTGTGGTCTTGACCAAGGGTCCAGGTTCATATAATACGTATTTAATTCAGAGCATTCCTGGAAAACAAGGAGGTTTCTCCAGCAGGAAGGGCAAGCCATGACAAGGAAGCCAGAATGGCTGTGGGGAGAGGCTGGTCCCTGGCAAGGAGATCAGGCCCCCATTTTCCCCCTGGCACTGGGACAAACTTCACATCCCACCTGCCTCTGGATGTCACTGAGATGTGACACAGCTCCTCTGGGTGTCCTGCCATGCCACAGTCACCGTGCCACTGCTCTGCACTGCCCTCCACAGCTCCTGGAGACCCCTGAGGCTGTCACCCCTCTCCTCTCCTCTATCACAGGGTCTCTCTGAAGTCTGAGTCCTTCCAAGATGGGCAGGATGACACTGCACAGTTCCCTGTAGCTGGGTTACCTCTCCCAGTCGAGCAGCACACGCAGCTTTTGTCTGTACAGGTAACTGCAAAGGGCAGACGAGTCTGACACAGCACAGAAGGCACTGAAAGCACTCAGCCCCCTCCCTGCCTGTGCCGGGCTCCTCCCGAATGCCTGAGGAATCAGGAGTGACAATTCCCTTCAATTCCCTTAAGCACTGCACTCTCTCAGAGCCCTCTGCCATCTCCCTCGACAAACATTCCTCCTGCCTGCCTTTCACAGCGCTCCAATAGCAACCCCTCAAGTGACACCGGGATATTTATTTATTTTCAACTTTCCAACAAGCCAGACTCACTGCAACTTGAACAAGCCAGTCTGGCACCGCAGAAACGTGCTGCACGCAATGGAAACAAACACGAACCACGTTCACTTTCCCCAGTTGTTTTTGGGCAGGTTCTTTTCTCCCTCTTCCAGCTCACAGCCCACCCAAGGCAGGGCTGGATCTCCAGTGCATGCCTTAGGATTGCACTGGATGTGGGGACAGCCAGGACTGCTGTCACTGCTGGCTTCATCAGCCAACACTTTGTGCTGTGGACACCACACATCCTCCAGCTGCCCAGAGCAGCCTGGTTCAGGAAGCAGAGCCAGGACAGTGCAGGATCTGAGGATGGAGGGTCACACCTTGGTCCATCAGGGCTGGAGCCCAGCCCTAGTGACCATGCAGGGATCAGAACAGGCACAACCCCACCATGCTCCAAAGAGCCAAAGCTCCGGGATAGGGATGAGGAGCTGGCAGGGCATCCCACCTCCTTTGGGACAGGAGAGTGCTCAGAGGCTAGAGGAGAGCTGCTGCCAAGAAGAAGAGCTCAGGGGAGCCTCCTCCTGCCACAAGAACCCCTCCAGTCCAGTGTGGTCCCCTCCTGCCCTGCCAGCTCAGAGAGGAGCGCCAGGAGCAAGGCTGCAGCACAAGCCATGCCTTACCTTTGGGCCTGGAGACCTCGGTGGCATTGGGAGCTGTCATAGCAATGCAGACGTCGTCCTGGGGGAACTGGTCACACTTGAGCATCTCTGGCCAGAAGAAGCCAAAGAACTGCATGACAGGCTCGCAGGAGTCACGCACGGCCTCGCAGAGCCAGCGGCACGGGTAGACCGGCCGGTCCAGGCAGACGGGGGCAAACAGGGAGCAGAGGAAGACCTGGGTGCCCATATGGCAATTCTTGTTGAGCAGCGGCACCCAGCTGCTCGCCTGGTGCTTCACCTCGGCCATGGTCTCGTGGTCCAGCAGGTTGGGCAGCACCATCTTGTCGTAGCCCACGCTGTGGCACAGCCGCAGGTCGGCGGGGATGGCCACGCACTGGTGGGGTTTGGCGTAGAAGCGCCCGCCAGGGTAAGGGCCCAGGTCTGACTGGTAGCTGACATAGTCGTACTCGCTGGCCACGCCGCACGCCAGCAGCCCGGCGGCCACCGACAGCACCGCACGCACGGCGGCCCCACCGGGCCCCCTCACGCTGCCCATCGCCGCCACCCGCCGACGGTGGCCCCGACAGCACCGGGGACTCCCCGCTGCCGGCGGCCGCCCCTGGGGACTCTCCTCGCAGCGCCTTCGCTGCCCCGAGCTCGCCGCCCCGAGCTCGCTGCCCGCCGAGCCCCTCACAGCCCCGCCGCCCTCCCGCCGCCCCGGCCCCGGCCCCGCTCTGGCCGCGCTCCGGCCGCGCCGCGGGTTTGTGAGCCCGCGGCAGCCAATCAGCGCCGCGCCGCCCGCCGCGCGCTGGCCCGCCGCTGTCAATCAGCGACCGCAGCAGCCCAGCCCGCCCCGCCCCGCCCCGCCCAGCGCGGCCCCGACGGCCCCACAGCCCGGCTCGGTTCGGTTCGGTTCGGCTCGGCCCGGCTCGGCTCGGCTCGGCTCGGCTCGGCTCGGCCCGGCTCGGCTCGGCTCGGCCCGGCCCGGCTCGGCTCGCTCGGTCCGGCTCAGCTCGGCTCGGTCCGGCTCAGCTCGGCTCGGCTCGGCTCGGCTCGGTCCGGTCCGGTCCGGCTCGGCTCGGCTCGGCTCGGCTCGGCTCGGTCCTGTCCGGTCCGGCTCGGCTCGGCTCGGCTCGGCTCGGCTCAGCTCGGTCCGGTCCGGTTCGGCTCGGCTCGGCTTGGCCCGGCCCGGCCCGACGGAGTGCAGCCGGGGCTCGGCTGCAGTCCCGGTGCGCGGCCCGACCCCCCCGGAGCCGTTCCCGGTCTCTCTGGGAGCTCCCGGCGCTCCTGAGCGGCTGTTCCGAGTCGCAGATATTTCAGATTCTAATATTTCTATGAACCTGTACTGGACCGTGCAGAACAAATCCCAACAGAAACTATGACATTCAAAGAAAAAAAAAAAAAAAAAACCAAACACCAACAACCAAACAAAACAAAAATCAGGAGAGAGCAAGGGGCCCTGCTCTGTAAAGGGTGCCCTGTTCCAGATGTGCTGGAGGAGCAGGAGCTGCATTCCCATTCCTCCACCCTTACCTTGCTGCGCTCCTCGGGGCTTGCACGGTCCAAAGAGGAGGAGGAGGAGGATGGAGCCCGTGGGGCTGCCCAGGTGCCAGGAGGGTGCCCCTGGGTGCATGGCAGGCAGGAGAAGCTGTCTCATCCCTTTGCACATCTGGCCATTGAGCAGCTCTGCCCCTGCCTGCCTACAGGGCACTGAGCTCTCTCCCTCCTCTGGGATCCTCCAAAGTTCCCCTTCCTGCCGCTGCCTTCGGCTGGAACAACTTGTACCACTTAAAACAGGAACTACACCTCATTGAGAGGTAAATGGAAAAGGCTCTGCAGCCCGGAGGGCTGAAAGAGCCACTTTCACCTGAGGGCCAGCAGAACAGAGCGGCCAGTTAGCAGCACTAATGAAGTGAAGAATTTAGCGGTAAACGAGGGACCCCGAGCGAAAGAGGCGTTTTTGGATGGAGCAGGCTCTCTCCTGCTACTTGGGCTCAGGAAATGATGGCAAAGCTCTGATCACTGCTTGTACCAAGAAACAGCTGCAAAAAATGGACTTCTCGTTCCTTGAGAAATCCTGGCAGAATCTGCTTTTACCAAAAGTACTTTAGGACCACTGAGACATCTCATTTTGAGAATTTAGGAAATAGTGCTGTGTCCCAGGAAACAAGTGCAATTCAGGCATCCTGATTTGCACCCAGGTGTTACATCCATGGGCACAAGTCTCCGGTTGGAAACCAAACTGTGCCAGTGCCTCTTCATTTTCCATGGCAAGATCATGGCAAAGTCTCGGAGCCTCTCTGTTTGCAGAGCAGCATTGGGTGTGTTTGACTTTGGCAGTGCTGTGATCCTTCTGTTCCAGGATGGATGCAATTGGAATATCACAGGCAGGCAAGGTGAGGTCTTAGGAAACTTATTTAAAAGGTGGAGAGCTCTCCAAAGGCACCAGCAGTAACATTGCAACAATTGAAAACTAGAGTCAGGATTCCAGTTATCTCCAGTTATCTCCAGTTATCTGCAGGTCAGCAATTGCCACATGGCAGCAGGTAAATGTGCTGTGATGGTCACCCCAGGGATGGCTGTCCTGCAGAATCCCACACTGATCAGTGGGTTTCACTCAACAGTAGCTGCTGAGCCTGCCACAGTTCACAGCTCTTGATCCAAGCAGGAAAACTCACAGTTCAGCACGCCTTGGCTGCTAAATCTGACCACATGCATGGCCTGGACAGTTCCTGAACTTGGCTCAGGGAAGGTCTTTGCTGGCTGCCTTCTCTCTTCTGTGGCTGACGTCCACATTGATGACAACAGCGCCTGAATGGGAAACCAAGAGTGAATTTTAAATTGAAACACAATTGAGCAGCAAATACAATTGCTGGCAAACCATTTTTTATTTAAAAAATGTAAGAAATCAGGGACAAGGAGGAAAAAACCTAAACCAAATGAAAATGCCAATTCTAGTCTAGGCCACTAAATTGCTTAATCCATGATATAAGACCTCTTAGAAAGCAGCTGCCCAACAAGGGCTGCTCCTCCAACAGACCTCTTCCAGACTGCACATGGATTTTTCTGAGTGAAGCCTGTGCAGCCATTTCCCTCCATAATTATGTAGCCCAGTGCTTCTTAAATCTCTGCCTTGTCTCCAATGTCATAGCCATTTATTGCTGCCTTTCCCACAGGGAGCTAACATTTTCCTGTTGAATAACGAGCCCCTTTGCACCACACACCATTCTGGCTGTCCCAAGACCTCTCGTGCCCTGTGAAAAGCCCAGCCCAATTAACCGTGCCTATTTCTGGCTCCATTGTTCATCCCAGCAGCCTGTGCAGGACCAGGCACTCTGCCCTCATCTGCAGCTCACATCCTGCTCTGTTCCATGTCCTGTGCTCAGGGGTGACAGGGAAGGTGGCAGGGGACATGTGGGACATGTCCCAGTGCTGCTGGCAGTGGTGTTGTCCCACCTGTCCCATCCTCCCTGCCCACCCTGGGCACACTCTGGTGCTGGAATTTGCCTTTCCCTGCATGCTGCCCTGGGGAAACAGGCAGGCACGGATGGGATAATAGAATATATTAGCCCTGAGTCCATTCAGGCCCTGGCTCTTTATGAACAAAGCCTGCTAACTGAGCTGATTTTTGCCAAATGACTGGCTTTCGTGCATGAGCAGCAAAGTGGAGCCCCCAAAGACTCCCATGCGACGAGCGCTGTTGCCCAGGGCTCTTTGTTTTACGGCTGCACTTGAGGGCATGGAGGAGTCACGGCCTTGCCTGCCCTGGCATTTCTTCTCCAGTTTCCCACCACTGCCTTAGCCCCATCTCAGCCCCAGCAGAGGCAGCAGGGATGGGGGAGATGAGACAAACTCAGGGACAGGGATGCCCGCATTGTCAGATGGGATGCACCAGCAGAGGCAGCCCACCTACCATGTCCCTGCATGGAGAGCCCACCATGCCAGCCTTGCAGCAGGACAGCTCCTGGACACCCCCAGGGAATACTTCCTTTAGGTTAGACCCCCCTCAGCCCAGCAAGACCTGCCAGGGTCAGTCCCTGAGGAGATGTTGGTTTTGCCGTGTTTGTTTTCTGGTTTTCTCAGCAGATTTCTCCAAGACTCCAATAACACTGATGCAGCCAGAAGCACTCCCTCACCCCATGATAAGGGCAACCCTCATGATAACCTCCTGCACAAGGAGGTTTTGCAGCTGTGGGGACTCACTCTGATGCCTCAGCCAGGTGCCCAGTGCCCCTGGGGCTGCAGAGACACCTTCACCAAAGGCTGGCCAGGATCAATGCACACAACAATTCCAGCTGATGTCTCCTGTTTGTGTGAAATTAGCACCAATAAATGCTATAACTACACATGACCAACAACAGATTTACTAGCTAACATATAAAGGACTGCAAGAGCAAATGCCTTCAGCACTGGTGAAACTCTTGACCGTCTGCCCCGAGTCCCAGGAGGGAACCGATGGCAAATGTTTACAGGGGCTTATAAATATTTATCCTGTAATAACTTGCTGCATTACAGCACATTCTTCTCCACAAGGCTCAGCTTTGCCCTGGACCAGGTGCAGGCTGCTGAGAGGGTCTGTGGCACATATAAAGTTTGCCTGAATAACATACAGCAAGAGCTGGTGTTCAATAAAACAGCAGCAGCCGAGCTGCACGCGTGAAAGGCACTGCAAGCCATTCCTTACCCAACAAAAGAAAAATGTGGCTGGGGAGCACAGGTGTGCAGGCACCTTGGTGTGGGTGCAAACCCCTTCTGGCTTGCCAGAGTAACCTGGGGAAGTGCTGCAAGTCACTGGGGAGGTGTAAATCACAATGCTGGGCTGGGCTGAGGGAGGTTTAGGCCCAAGAGTGGCCCCGTGCTGCCTGAGAATGCGGGGACCCCAAAGGAAGGGAACAGGAGCCCACCATGAGGAAACATCTCCTCATGCTTCTTGCTCTTCAGCAATCTTATCTGCTCGCTTCCCTCTATAATTTTTGAGCCATTTATTTATTTATCCTTCTCTCCCCTTATTTATTTATCCTTCTCGTGCTAAATGATTTTCAAGAGCATAAGATACCAGTGGTTTGGAAAGCATGTGATAGTCTCCAAGCTGGACCAGAGATGAAGTTCAGAACTACTTTCTAACAGGAGTAAATAAGCAGATTGGAAAGGCTCCATTGTGTATATCCTAGTTTGCTATTTTCTTAACCCTGTCTCATTAAGATGGATGGAGTTTCTGCTTATTAGTAATTTGGCAAGTTCCTCTTTGTGTACACTCTGCACTTCTCACTAATGACGCTGTGCTTCAGTGATTAACAAAAGAGACTTCCAGCACAGTCAGTGAAAACACAGCCACGCACTTGGGGCACTGGGACAGAAACCCAACATTCTGGAGATGCCCTCTGTGGAAGATTGCAGGGAACCCAGCAAAGCAGGAGCTGCTGGTCATAAAACCTTTCATGTCACTCAAATAATTTTGACCTGAGGACATTGGTTCCTTTATTTACATGCAGAGCTGACAGAGCCTGCCACAAAGTGATTCAGAGCCCTTCCTCTGCTGTTCTTAGGACACATCTG